GATGTGGACCATCTGCCTGAAAATGACCGAAACTATTATGGCTGTGGAGAAATGCCACGTCATTTTGCAACAAAGCTGGATAAATATATGTATATGTAAGTAGCATGTAATATTCCTTACGTTGTGCAAAGTGCTTGCAAAATCATGTTATTAAAATGGTAGCACATTGTGCAGAATGCTTGCAAAATCATGTTATTAAACTGGTAGCAGTGTGATATGACTGGATCTGAGATTACTCTGGAGCACCAAAAGCAGCTTCTTTTACCCCAGCTCATCCTCGTTCGAGGAGCCCCACTTAGATTTGCTTGTTGTTCATCTCTGCGCTTCCTCACACACAGGTGGAAGATCTGGGCGCAGTGTTTGGTTTTTATAGTCAGGCAGATGTGGGTTCTTGTTCTCATAGCCTTAAGACTGATTAGTGATTTCTGGCTGCCCTTCTTCATTGGAATAACAGAGCCCATCCCATAGGTGCTGTGGGCTCTCATGTAATCTATACTCACGTGGCTGGTCCAGACCACATGTTGGCACCCTCAGCATCCCTTGTCCTTAGTAATAATTCAGTGCAGGGACCTACGTCCCTGTTTGCTGCTGTATATAAGTCTCCTTATCCCTTAGCAGTGGAATCTAGGCATGCCCTTAAGAGGAAAGAAACAATCTCTTCATTCTCTGTGTCTAGCTGTATCTTGAAATGTAAAAAAGAAAAATTACCAGAGCTTTTGACAGTAGCTTAAATAAGCATTAAAGAGTGTAGGGTCAATCAGGGAGGAAAATCACAGTTTTCGTCAGCTAATGGAGTGGAGAGAAGGGAGAATAGCCTGGGACAGGGGAGAGATGTTGTCTGCAGGGTTGAGAGGCTAATAAAGTCTTAGTGACATGACTGAGCTAATCAAGCCTGAAATACTTTTTCTGCCCCTCATTATTGGAAAACCATTCTTTGTGTTTGAACTCAAGTGTGGTGTTGTTTGAGAGGTCACCAAGGAAGAGTTCTTTTAATACCTTTAATACCTTAATGCTTTTAATACCTTTGTTTTAGTTGGCCTACTAGAGTAAATGTAGAGTCATAGTAACTTATTTTCACTAAAAGAAAAATAAAATCATAAAGATTTGTAAACAAGGGAGTGGCAGACACACTAGGTTGCAGACTAGTAGGTTGGAGGTTCAAGCCCACCAGTGGGGATCTGGGAAGAAAGCTGGCAATACAGTTGTGAAAAAGCAGCCTTTATAAACTCTGGAGCGTAATCTACTCTCATATTCATGGGCTTGTTGTGGGTCAGAGTTGACTTGCTTACAGCTGGACTTATTCCCCCCTCTGAGGTGTTTTTTTTTGGTTTTTTTTTTTAAATTATGATTTCCCCCCATTTTCTCTAAGCCAGAGGTTTTAGATTACTTTTTTCCCTTGAAGAGACTAATTTCTAGTGAGTAAAATGTTCATGTCATCTGGGCGAACCCCAGGATTAGTAGGGTGTCTTGAGAGTTTGAGTAGAAATTAGAATGTAGGTTATAGAGAATGACAGCAGATGGGTGCAGGGACTGAGCACCATGCCTCCACTGCAGGCTGTTCTCCAGACCACTGCACCCCGAGAATCTGTCCTGCTCACAGCGGTAGGACAGAGGCCTTGTGAGTAGGAGGTTTGTGCCCCTAGGGTCATTATCTCCCCACTTTGGACAGTATAAAGGATATGTCATTAGATCTTTGCTTAGTGAACTTCCTTTTTCTACCTGATACTTTATTATACTTTCATATTGTCTGTATTGATTATTTCCAATAGAATAACAAATGAAATGAGTGTGATTGCCAGCTTATAAATATCGGTAAACACGTATTTATATGTATCTAGTTATCCCTGGTTTCTTTGGAACCACTGGCATGGGAAAGAATAATCCAGCTGGCGTGGGGAACACAGAAGTGGCAAAAGCACTAATTGGCCCTGCTGAACCATGACTAAAACTATTCATTGGAACCTTAGCTTCCCAAGTCAGTGTTAAGGGAACTTGACGAGGTCTCCTGGGACAATATGGTTGTCTTTAACACCACTGTTGCTGTTATTGTTTTGGGATGTCTCCTGACACCCCCGGGTTCTCTGTGAGAACTACTGCTCCCTTGTTCTGTGTACCACACAGGAGTGCAACTAGCAAACAGCACTTTTCCTCCTTTAACAAGAGGGATCTCCCTCTCTGTCAGGCTCTAAGAAAACCTTTCCAAAGCCGCATGCAAATGTCCCTCAGTTTGGTTCTGAATATTGTACCTCGTCCTGTTTTCTCTGCTTGCTTTGCATACTGGCCTGACCCTTGCTGGACATTGGCACATTGCTCCGGGGAGCACATTTATCCAGGACTACAAGTCTGAGGATGATATTAGATGATTAAAACGCACTTTGGGAACATTGCATGCTAAACAACTTAGGTGATTAAAAAGGCACTTTCATAACAATTGCAGACATTGCATACTTTGATATGCTCCTTGGAGGGAGTTTGGGAAGGAGAAAGCACAAGTGCAGAGTTAAAATATTGTTCTTTGTCTAATAATGAAAAGAAATGGGTTGCTTTTGTTTTTGTTTTTTCAAATTCTCTAGTGGTTAGGGAGTTGGCTGCCAATCCAAAGATAGGCGATTCAAGTCCACCAGCTGCTCCACAGGAGAAGGGTGTAGAATTTCCTGTTTGATTTTCAGTGTCCTTCTGAAAACACATTGCCAGGTCAGCTATGAGTAAAACAACAGAAAGAAATATATGGACAGTATAAATCGAAAATGCTATAGGAATTGACAGCTGGATATTTTAAAATTAAGTGCTATGCTTTAATAACATTTCTCCCAGGCTGTAATCTCCCACAGAGCAGCTGGTAGATTCAGACTGTGTGCTGTTAGGATTGCAGCACAGATTCTTACCACTGGACCACCAGAGCGCCATCGCCAGAGATATTTTGGAAGAAAGACCTGCTGATTGACTTCCAAGAAATTAGCTATGGCTCACAGTTCTATTCTCACACATACGGTTACCATGAATTAGAGCCAACTTAATTAACAGTGGGTTTGGGTGCCTTTAGTTTTAGCATTCACTGACAACTGTTGATATATATAGTTTATTTAGTGTAAAAATATGTTATTTGAACCCTGGTTTTGAATTTTGTAAAATAACAAAATTACTGAGTGCTGTCGAGTCAACTCTGACTCCTAGTGGCCCTGTGAATAACAGATTCAAACCTGGCCCTAACCTGACATATTCATGGGAATTTAAGTCTATTTTGTTTCTTGGTTGTATTTTACATTTATTGGAATATATTGGCTTAATCAAATTAATTGTTAATAGAGAATATAGGGATATTCTCTATTAAGAATGGTCACTAGAGCACCAGTGAGCTCGGGTGGCCTAGTCGTAAGAAACTGCAGGCATGCGGTTCAAATCCACCAGCTGCTCTGTGGGAGAAGGATGGGCAGGCTCCCTGGGGAGGTTTACTACCTCTGAAAACCTGCTGGAGGGTCAACAGTGGGCCAGTTCCAATTCGACAACATACAATTCCAGACTAAAATGTGATCTCCTATGGCAGCCCTTTGCGGCTTCATTTTCTGAATGCTGTTTTCAATGCTTTCTCTTTCAGCCTTCCATATAAAGAATTTTTTGGTGGTGTGAGTGGACTGACAGTGGAACAATTTAGAAAGATCAATGGCTTTCCTAATGCCTTCTGGGGCTGGGGAGGGGAAGACGATGACCTCTGGAACAGGTACGTTCAGGTGTGAGTTACGTCATAATAAAGTTTGTGTGTGTTAGAAAAGATTCTTTGGAAGAGCACATTTTTGAGCTTTATAAATTCCATTTTATATCACAATATATTTTTGCTTTTAAAAATTAAGTTCATATAATCCATTTGTAATAACATTTTTGTTCCTTTATTCTATTTCCATATATCATAGAGTTCACTACGCTGGGTATAATGTAACAAGACCAGAGGGAGACCTGGGGAAATATAAGTCTATTCCTCATCACCATCGAGGTGAAGTCCAGTTCTTAGGGCGGTAAGTTTAATATCATCTTTAAATATCAACATCTCAAAGCTATGAAGTACATTAATGGTTAAGAATGGGTTAGATCTCAAAAATATGTCCTGAATTTTCTGTTGACAGCATTTTTCTTTATAGAAAGAAAATACTTTCTATGCTCTGTGTTTATTTTAGAGAGAGGATAAGTGTGTGTGTGTGTGTGTGTGTGTGTGTGTGTGTGTGTGTGTGTGTGTGTGTATATATATAATGTATGTATATGTGTGTGTATATATATGTGTGTATTTATCTGTATATCTAATACTAAGGGAGCTCTGTTAGCCTAGTGGGTATGGAGTTGTGCTGCCAACCCAAAGGAGTGAGGCTAGAATCCATCAGCTGCTTCAGGAGAGAAAGATGGGCAGTCTTCTCCTGTGTGATTTATAATTTCTGTAAATCCATTTTGAGTTTGAAACTTGTTGCCCTCAAGTCAGAACTGACTCAGAGCTGATCCTCCCGTGGATTTTCAGGGGCTGTAGAATCTCTTTGGAGAAGTTGCCCATCTTTCTCTCGTGGAGTAGCTGGTGGATTCAAACAGCCTGCGTTTGGGTTGACAGCGAACTCCCTACCTGCATTCAAACAGCCTGCGTTTGGGTTGACAGCGAACTCCCTACCCGCTAGGCCACCAGAGCTCCTTGTATATGTATAGAGAACATGTACATGCTCTGTTGCTGTAGTGGAGTAAATGTTGAGCTGCTAACTGAAAGGTTGGAGGTTTGCATCTGCAGCCGTGTGCTGCTGTAAAGATTTGCTACGTAGAAAGCCCTATGACCTAGGAAACCCTTTAACATAAAACATAGTATAATTTTTAAGGGTGTCTCAAGTTGTAAGAGTGCAAAAGAATTTTTTTAGGTAGCACTCTTAGCGAGCTCTGGTGGCCTAGTGGTAAAAAATCTGCACTGCCATCCCAGAAGTACATGGTTTGAATCCGCCAGCATCTCTGGGGGAGAGAGGATGGGCAGCCTCCTGTGTGATTAACTGCCTCTGAAAACCCATTCGAGGGTTCCTGGAGCTGTGAGTCAGTTCTAACTTGATGGTACTCAACAACAACAGTAACACTCTTAAGACTGGTAAAAATGTTAATATATTGGCTCAGATAAATTTAATTCTTTGTGATCTGAAACTGTAAAGTACTTTCAACATTTTAGCTGTAAAATGAACTTGAGCTTACTTCTCAGGTCACCAGTCTTCTTTTTGAACACATTTCTGATATGCTTCCTTTTTTCTTCTAAAATTTTAGGTATAAATTACTAAGATATTCAAAAGAGCGTCAGTACATCGATGGGTTGAACAATTTAATATATACGCCAAAAATACTGGTTGATAGATTGTACACAAATATATCTGTAAACCTCATGCCTGAGTTAGCACCAATTGAAGACTATTAAAAGAAGTAACTTTCATGGCAAGATGGACCACAGAACTGGGTTACAAACTTGGAGTTCACTCTTGATGGAGGCTAGTGAATGGATGCATCATGGTGCCCCGTTCTCTGAGAAGAAGAGCCACAGTTCTCAGTGTTTACAGCGTGTGACAATATCCAGTCAGCCTTCTTCCACCTGTCCTAAGACACAGCCCATCGCAAGCTCAGCAAAAGCCGGTGTCACTGAATGAGATTGGAAGTTTAAGTGAGCTCCCTTCAAAGAGAACATTTTTATACTCAAAACTATAATTGACTTTAAGAGAATGCTTTATTTCCGTTTAAATATATTTTGTACATATGTGATGTAATAATGTGTTCACATTGTTGAAAACTAAGATGTGTTACAGTTTTGCATGTAATTGGTTATGCCTTTATTTGACTTTTCTAGACATTTTTTATTTGCATGGGAAAAAACCCCAATAAACTCAATCACTAAACAAAGGTTATCCCTTGTGTGAAATGAAGGAACTGTCAATAATTGACAGGCAATCAATACAGTAAACTGTTATACTAGTTTTGCACTGTAGAGTTTCAGCATTTTGTATAGAAGTAACAGCTTTCTCAGAGTTTTAAAAGGTAAGAAGAAAGAATTTAGGCAGCTTTTCTTCCTACCAGGGTTACCTATTTTTTTCTTGCTTGCAATCTCTTCAGATTTTGCTAAATCACAACCGTATTGTTTATGCGTATTGCATGAGTATTACCAAGAAAATCTTAAAAGTTGTGATGTGAAATGATATAAAGAAATTACTTATGTTACATGTCTTTCATGTACCTCTGGTATAAGTGTCAGGGATTTTGTGCCTCAAAAAAATATTCCCGCGATTGTGTGTGCTTGTATACTGTACTTTTATTTTTAATTCATTGTGAGCAGCACTTTTATTACTTCCAGTTCAGATGAGCCAAAAAAAACCCCAAAACCCCAGTTATTTTCATTTAAAAATTTTTAAATGTGTTTTGGGTTTTTTGTTTTTGTCCCCCCCCCCAAGAATAAGATTTGGAAAGCCCAGTAATAGTTATAATATGAATGGGTTATAGTATTAGATTATATGTTCTATTTTTGTGAAAATGAATGATGCTAAGAGGATAAAAAAAGGTAAATTCATTCTCAGAATAATATTTCAGATTTGGAAGAGATTTTGTAAGTTTGGCCAATTTAATTCAAACTATACATAGATATATATAGTTTTTAAGAAATTGCATTTTATTTTAATTATTGAAATTTCCTTACTATGAAAGCATGGTTTAATAGAATTATGTTTAAAATATAACTGTTTCTTTAACTTTTATTGTAATATAAAATGACATGTCTCTGAAACAAATAATTTTGCCTGACATTAAGTATATTACTTTTTTTCAAAATCTGAATGACATTTTCTGTGACAAAACCAATCAATGCCCTTTGAAAATTATTACAGTTAACCAAAGATTTTTTAAGTGAGCAAAAGATATTTTCAAAAATTTAAAGCAAAACTTAGAGATTTGTAAAATTAATCTTCAATAACAGTGGAGAGAATGTTAATCAATATGTGAGGGTAATATTCATCTCACAGACCATTTCCCTAATATAAAAAGATGGTTATTTATCTCAGATTATGAGTTTAATTTTGAAATTTTATTCCATATGACAATATTAGTAGCACAAATGACCACAAACCAACTCAATAAAATAATTGAAAATTATTAAAATTTTGAGAAAACTAGTAGTTCTCTTTCAGAATACCAGACAGAATTTTTCCATATTTTTAAGAAATGTTTTTCTTCCCATTTTTATGTACCCTAAAATAAATAATGAAAAAGTCAACCCTCCTGAAAAAGTAATATATTTATTCTTGTGTTCTCTGATTTTTCTGCTTCTCTTAACCATTATAATTCTAAAATTTTCTGAAAGGAGATTGAGAATATTGACATTTGTTGATCACTAACAAGGGGATAGGGCTATTATAGAAACATGAATTAACCCAGTAATACTTAATATTTTCGTGGTGGGGAAAATTAAGGCAATTTCTTTTATCTTATGGAAGAAACTTTTTTTTCCTCTCTTTATAGTGGAGCTTTGCACCTTTTGGTACTTAATTTTGATACTTATTTTATAATTTCGAGGGAACTTACTTTCATCTGCCTTATTTTTTTTTTCTTCTCAGTTAAGTCTGACAGTTTTTGTTTTAGAAGTGAGATATGAATGTTTTTGGTTTTATTTTTCACTTTTGAATATGTGGTTTCATCCTGTGAAAACCACTTTAGGAAGAGGCTTTGGTGGGTATTTTCTTTGCATAATTTTGGTCTTCTTGTGTAGTTTGGCGGGTTTTTCCTTAAGTACAAACCTAAAATTTATTTTTGCCTCTAAGCAGTGACCCTTCATGCTTCCTTGAGAATAACAGAGCTTTTGCCCAACGGTCGCCATTGTGTGAAAGAATTTCCCCAAACCGAATATACAGCAAATGTAATCTGTCTTTCTGTGGTAGGTTTACTAAGCAACAGGTTGGCTGCCCAATGGGAAGATAGTTTGATGTGCCTAGTACTGGACACTATAAGTAGACACTATAAATAGAAAGGCCTGCAAAAGAGATCTCCTTTCATTTGTTAACAAATCAAGTGAGGCAAAACCTTTCCAAAATTTTGACGCTATCCTCTGATAACTTAGTTGTATTTCTTAGGTTCAAAATCAAGACACCCATATTTAAAGGACACAGAGCTATCATAAAGTCCCTTTGGCACTATTGAAGAGTTCCATAGTGCTTTTCAACTAGAGAAAGAAGCAATGAGTGGGCCTGTTGGTAGAAAGGAAGCAGGGCAAAAGTGAGCTACTGAACATCTACTAAACAGTGGAGATGAGCACTTAAACCTTTGCCAAAGCTAGGGTTTATGAATATTCCCCTCCCAATGTAAATGTTTGCTTATATTTTGTGAACAGGTGTTCCGTGAAAAAACTTTATTTAGGTATAAAGACTTGTTTGTACTTCTTTCCCAGTCCTGATCTTTATATCCTCTTGAAAGCAAAGTGAGGAAAATACCTACTATAAGCTCCTCTTAGAGGGCTTCCTACAGTAAAAGCAGATTTTGTGTCATTTTACTTGGCCTTTGCTTGTCTCCGTTATACTTTATGTACTTTTCAGATTAGCATTAGTAACTTCCTTCTTTATGTGCTCTTCAAAGAAATAAATAGTAGGGGTTTTTTGCCTTGGATTTGTAAGTATGCAAGTTGAGAGACATAAAACGGTCAGTGTTGTTTATCAGAGAGAGGAAGTGTACTTAAGATAATTTTATTTATTAAGATATGAAAAACTCCTACATAAATGCACTGAAATAAATGCTAATAATTTCTTGTATTCTCATGATTTTTTTTTTTGCTTCTCATGGAAATGTTTGTACTTTTTTATCATTGTCTTTTATGAAATATAATGTTCTAAAGACTTTGTGTGATGATGTAATTATTTTTCTCTCAGGAACTTTTTTTTGTGTGGTTATTTGTTTACCTATCCCTCCCCTATTTCTAATCTGTTGTTGATTAATACTTTGGCAGGCAGTGAGAGTGTAAGCTAATGTAAAAATAATAACTACCTTTTTAGCAATTTCTGTTAAATACACTTAGATATCACCTCATGAGCTTTTACCTCAAAAGAGACAATGTAATAGTTATGTATTTTTTCATTTACACAGTTAGTAATCTGTTGTATCACAGAGAATATTGGAGATTCCACGTTAGCAAGATTTCCTGAAATTTCCATAAACTAAACTGGTGTTTTATAGTCAATTACTTCTTAGTTTTCAGACATAAAGTACTGTTGTGTTTAAGACAAACAGTTAAATCTCAAAAATACTGGGTGATCTGTTTTTTAGTATTTGAGATTAGTTTTGGGTTTTTTTAAAGTCTTGGCATTTATCAGATTAATTGTGTAATGAACTCTTAAGTTTGCATAGTCTAATCTACAGGAATATTGTCACTGTATACCACAAATAAATATATATACACACGCACGTATATACACATACACACACACACACACACACACACACACACACACACACACACACACACATATATATGAAGGAAAAAGATTGAAATTGTTAAAGATTTACTTTTGCTTGGATTCACAATCAATACCTTTGGAGACATATAGCACTAGGAAAGTCTGTTGTCACGTACCTCTCCAAAGTCCTGAAGAGCAATGATGTCAGTTTACAGACCAAGGTGCACCTGATTCAAGCCATAGTTGTTCTGATCCTCTGCTATGCATCTGAGAGCTGGACAATTAAGGAGAGAAGAATATAAGCCTTTGAGTTATGTTGGAGAAGAATGTTGAATATTCCATGGACTGCGAAAAGAACAGACATATCTTGGAGAAAGTGCATGGTGAAGCTTCAACTTTCATACTTTGGAAATGGTGTAAAGAGAGTCTATTGCATGCTTGGAAAGGTAGAGAGTCAGCACAAAGTATGTGGCTTCAAAATTCTTGCTTCCAATGAGCAAAATGGCTTCATCCTTTCTAGGGCTACTTTTTTTTTCTTGACAGTCTGTGTTATGTTTAGTACTCATTAATATCACAGGCAAGCAAAATCTTGCAGAAGATTACAAAAAAATGACTGGAATAGTCTATTGACAGAGATCTTCAAAACACACACCCATAACAATCAGGTGGGATTTAGATAAGGCTGAGCATCTGCTGGATTCGAACCGTGCACCTCTGTGATTGCTCAAAATCCCTAGCCCTAAGAGAGATGCAAATTAAAACAACTATGAGATATCATCTCACCCCAGTCAAAATAGCAAAATTTAACAGAACAGCAAGCAACAAATGCTGGCGAGGTTGTGGAGAAACTGGAACCCTGATTCACTGTTGGTGGGAGTGTAAAATGGTGCAACCACTGTGGAAAGCAGTATGGCGCTTTCTCAAAAAGTTGCAAATAGAGATACCATTTGACCCAGCAAATCCACTACTGGGAATATACCCTGAAGAGACCATAGCT